CGTCCTGTAATCTGACAGTGGTCAATACCAGGTACCTTAGAGGGAATGAACAGAACAGGTGACCATGAAGTGATCCATCCCTGTAGTCCACTGCCAAGTTCTGATAAACAGAGGCTAGGGACATCATACCAACCCATCTTGGCAAATAGCCATTGGTGTATTTGAACCCTGTTAAAGACCTGGCCTTCACAACATCCTCTGGCAAGGATTTCCACAGATTGACTGTGGGTTGTGTGAATACTTCCTTTTATTTGTTTTACACCCGCTACCTATTAATTTCATTGAGTGATACTTAATTCTTGTGTTTATAGGCAGGAGTAAATAACTCTTCTTCATTGACTTTTTACATACTGGTCATGATTTTATCAATCTCGATCATATTCCCCTCCCCCCCATCATCTCTTTTCCAAGCGGAAAAGTCCCAGTTTTGTTAATCTCTACTCATATGGTACCCGTTCCATGCCTCTAATAAGTTTTGTTGCTCTTTTCTGAACTTTTTCCAATACCAAGATATCTTTTTAAAGATGAAGTGATCATACCTGCATGCAGAATTCAAGATGCGGGGGAACCATGGATATACATTCATTGTCCCAGCTGAGCTATAAATGTATTTGACAACCCGAGCTGGTTTTCACTTCAAATGTTGCCTGCAGATCTAAACTCAGGACCTAATTCTACTCTCAGATTTTCAGGGCTTCCACTGAGGCCTGTGCACAAATGGCCAGAGTTTTAAAAGCTGAGGACTGAGCTGTTCTGAAAATAGGATGGTTTAGTTCGTGCGTAACACAAGGCTAATGCCACCCACTTTCTACCTCTCTATTTACATTATTCACTCTTCAGATCTGTTGCTATGTGGTTGTACAATGCCTAGCATAGCATGGCCCTGATCCCATCGGGGAATGCTAGGTCTCCCCACAATATAATCAGATAGATGACAGACACCCAGACATGGTACCTATACAGTGTTTCTCACGTGATGCTGGAGCTGATTCCTACACATAAAGATTCATTAAAATGATTAAAGAAATTTTAATCTCCCGCTTTGCTATTTCAGTTCAAGTCTGTGCATGGACACTCATATTTTAGAATAAAAATCTATTTGTGTTAGACTGCCAGAGGGCATGCTTCAACCCTTATGAGTATCCACTCACAGGGAAACAACAAAAGTTGGGGATTAAAAGTGATTTAGATATTTCCGTGCAAGTTTATGTGTAGCCCAGCCCTTGGGGAGTTAAGCACCCAACTCTCATTGTCAATGGACTTGGAAAGGCCTTGTGGGAAGTGCTTTGTATTCATGCCTGTCAGTGTGAAAGAAGTGATTTGCAAATAATGTACATGCAACCACGCTTAAGTTTGCGGCCCTCAGCATGTGCTGAGAGTATCATTGTGGCCCCCAGGGCTTCCAAAGTTGAGTAGCCCTGGCCTAAACCAACACCAGCTGGTGTCAGAGTCTTGCCAGTGTCTTGCAAGGCAGTTCTATCAGACCCCTGAAAATGTTTAAAGGCAAACTTGAAAATCATAGATAATGAATACTGTATTTTCTGGCGTATAAGACTACTTTTTATACTAAAAAACATCCCCCAAAAATCGGGGGTCGTCTTATACGCCGGGTATAAACATACTGTAGCTTCGGCTACATACAGAACGTCCCTGTGCTGATACTGTATGTACCGCGCTGAGCCAATCACGGCAAGCGGTGTCATCTATTAATGCATACAAAGCCTGCTCGGATTGGCTGAGTCAGAGAGGCGGGCTATTACAACCTTTGCCAATCCGAGCAGGCTTTGTATGAACATGATGAGGATTTTGAAGGATTTTAAGTACCGGTAAGTCAAAACCATGTTAATTAAAATTATTTAAATCAAATCTGATGTTATTAAATGGTGTTGCCTCGGAAGGGGGGGGGGTAGTCTTATACGGCGAGTATAAGACGAAAACCTATCTTTTAACTAGAAAATTAGGGGGTCGTGTTATACGCCCAGTTGCCTTATATGCCAGAAAATACGGTACCTTAGGCTCTTTGAAAATCCCAGCCCTGGGATCTAAACTGTACCTGCATCAGACAGACGAGTTGATAGTTTCTGGGGCAGTTTGGATTATTGTGTAACATGACCCCTTTTGCGGTCTCCCAGTTGTGGTTCAGGTGCAGTTTCCTGTGTTTGAATTTCCTGGTCCTTTCTTTACATTCATAATCATGTGTCAAGCCTGCCTCTCTTATGCTCAGACTCAATGGCCCTGGCTTAGAAACGATGGTGCAGCAATAAGTCAGAGTGTGTACTTCAGCTTCACTGTGGTGTGGTTTGCTCAACAGCAAGAAGTGCTTTATATGTAAGAAGCCTTGCACATCAATTAATACCCATTCAAACTGGCTGAAATGCTACTGAATCCAAAAGATGCTCTTTTGCACGGCTGCAAATCATGAAAGGAGGGCAAGGCAATGGTGAAGAAGGCCAAAGCTGAAGAGGGCTGGAAACAGGACTTGAGGGAGTGAATTACAACATGTTTAACAAATGCTTGGTGCAGTTCCTGGAGCCCATACCTAGCTGCCTTGATTTTAGTCCAGCCTGGTGTCTCCATTGTTCGGGACCTAGCCTACTGTCCCGCATTTGTCCTGATGGATTTTACCTAGGTGTGATCTGTTAGAACTCACGTTCCCTAGAGCAGAGCCTATGACTTGGATGAATCTTTTCTCTCTGAGGCCACTTGCCTCAAGATTGACACTACGATGATTGATCTTTCGGGGTTCAATTTAGCAGTCCTAATAAGGACCTACTAAATTGAATACTGAGGGTGCCTATCAGCGCCAGAACTCTTACTCCTCACAAGTTTTCAAGTGCCTCCAAGTTCATTACGTGGCAAAGTCCCTAGAGATTTCACTGAGTCTTCAGCTCTTCCCGCTTCAATTGTGGGAAGCTCTGCTTGGGGGTGTGGGAGCTGTTTTTGTAAAGGTCAGCTGGTTACAATGGAAAAGCTTGATCAAAATGGAGACCATGCAATTGGAAGCCATGCTTATCACTTATTTGGGTCGAGGTTGCTGGGAGCTTGGGGTGGGGGAGGGAACTTTTCTTGCTTAAGAACACAATCGGTCTCTCTGGGGGATAGGAAGTTGTGACTAATTCCTGTCAGACAACCCAGCTCTATTGCAGTGTTTGCACTAATAACATGGGCTGGGATAAACTCCCAGCTGGGGAAGGCCATCACCCCAAGTTACTGCCCCCAGTCCCTGAACATCCCCATGACCCTTTGTCTGTTAATATAACAGGTTTCTGGGGGCACTTCTGAGAGGGAGCTGGTAGATAAGGTCCCATGGGAAGCAAGACTAAGGGGAAAAACAACTGCAGAGAGCTGGCAGTTTTTCAAAGGGACATTATTAAAGGTCCACAAGCAAGCTATTCTGCTGCATAGAAAAGATAGAAAATAGGACAAAAGACAGTCTTGGCTTAACCAGGAGATCTTGCATGATCTAAAAATTAAAAAGGAGTCATATAAAAAGTGATAACTAGGACAAATTACAAAAAATAAATATAAGCAAACAATTCAGGGGCAAGATTAGAAAGACAAAGGCACAAAATGAGCTCAAATAGCTACAGACAAAGGGGAACAAGACATATAAATATATTAGAAGCAAGAGGAAGACATGGGACAGGGTAGGTCCACTGCTTGGTGAGAAGGGAGAAACAATAACAGGAAGTTTGGAAATGGCACAGGTGCTTAATGATCTTTGTTTCAGTCTTCACCAAGAAGTCTTATGATGAAAGAATGCCTAACACAGTGAATAGTAGTCAGAATGAAGTAGGTTTAGAGCAGGGGTGGCCAACCTGTTCCAGACGAAGAGCTAAAATAGTGGCAGATACAGTGCAAAGAGCCGAGGGAAAGAAGTTGTTGGGGGGAGGGGGCGGGGAGTGCTGCCCTGTAACCTAAAAGTGCTGCCCGCATGTGGCCTAAAAAGGCTTCCATTGTGGCGCCCAGACCAGACAAGGAAAAACGTTCAGAGCAGGGGAACTCAGAATAGCCGTGGGTACAAGAGCTGCAATTTTTCCTTTGAAGAGCTGTGGGTTGGCCACCCCTGGTTTATAGGATAAAATAAAAAAAGAAGTTAAAAATCACTTAGAAAAGTTAGATGTCTTCAAGTCACCGGGGCTTGATTAAATGGACCCTAGAATATTCAAGGAGCAGATAGAGGAGGTATCTGAGCTTTTAGGAATCATATTTGAAGTCATGGAAGATAGGAGAGATTCCAGAAGACTGGAAAATGACAAATAAATGCCCATCTATGAAAAGGGAAACAAGAACAACGCAGGAAACTACAAAGCAGTGAATTTAACTTCTGTGCCAGGAAAGATAATGGAGCAAATAATTAAGGAATTCATCTGCAAACACCTGGAATATAATAAGGTGATAGGTAACAGCCAGCTTGGATTTGTAAAGAACAAATCATGTCAAACCAACCTGATGACTTTCTTTGATAGGGTAATGAGTCTTGTGAATAAGGGAGAAGTGGTAAATGTGGTATACCTAGGCTGTGTCTACATTGGCAAGATTTTGCGCAAAAGTGCCTGCTTTTGTACAAAAACTTGCTGCCTGTCTACACTGCCACGAGTTCTTACGCAGTGGGTCTTCAGTCATTCCCAGCTCAATTCATAGCAAAGGTGCTCCTGCAGTGATGAACTGGATTAAAGACATGACTGACAACTAGATGAAGACAGAGATGGAGGAACCCCCATGGCCCTCTTTATACCCGTGCCCGTGAGGATGGAATTCCATTGTTCTCCTTGTGTGAAAGTACCTTCCAAAATAGAAACAACAAATAATCTTGTAGCACTTTAAAGACTAACAAAACATGTAGATGGTATCATGAGCTTTCGTGGCCATGGCCTACTTCTTCAGATGACCAGAAATGGGCTGTGCCCATGAAAGCTAATGATACCATCTGCATGTTTTCTTAGGCTTTAAAGTGCTAGCAGGCTATTTGTTGTTTAAGTTTTTCCTGTTACAGACTAACTCGGCCACCCCTCTGAAACTTCCAAAATAGAGTTTGTCATATGAGTAGGTCACTTATTCATGCATGACTCGGTCCTTAGAAGCCATTGCTTACCTGCTGGTCCGAATGTTCACAGCAGCAACAAAGTTCCTCAGATGTGGACTGGCACCACTTAAGTTCCATTATCAGTCATACTCCGATTCACTTGACTAGCAATCCTTTCACAACAAGTGGGTGAAGCCTGGTGATAATCTCCCAGAAGCACACAGTTGAAGACAGCCAAGAACATAGCCAATACTCATAACTTCAAAGACAAAAATTATACATGCACACAAACAGCATAAACAGAATCAACAAATCATCAGCTCTCTATAAACATCTCATTTTTCCTACTATGTACAAGATTTGGTGCAAACATATATAAGTGGTTGCAATAATGTTTTGCATGCTCCTATCAGAACCCAATAATGTCAGTTTCCCTCCTCCTAGTGGGTGGCGTGACCCCACCCAGTGGGAGCACCTTTTGGCCAAGCAGACACACCATGGCCCTTTCTGGCCAGAGCATAGGCTGTTTTGCGAAGGTAGTGCCTTCCCTTGCCTGTGGTACTCGCTGCCCATGACTAACAAGGAGTTAAAAACCCTAGTTTCAGGCTTGTTCTCTAACTCATATCCCAACACAAGGGTTTCTTGGCAGTGGAATCCCAGCCATTGTTGTTTGATAAAGAGAGCAAGGAACAAAGGATAGAGTCAGATGCTTGGGCTGCCTTGCTGCTTTCCTCCAGCCCTTGTTCTCTCTCTCTCTCTCTCTTACAGACCCCTTGAGGAGTACAACTTGGGAGTAAGCTAAGTGAGACGGTTCCTCTTTGAGGCAGTCTCCCTGGACAACTGGATGTAGCCTCCACCCTGGTGGTCACGTGGTGACCCTGAGAACAGGGGTCTGTGTCCCCCTCCATGCAGGACAGCAACTGACACCCTTGGTAACAACCACTGTCTCTGCTGAGTAGAATGAATAGCACGGCATCTTCTGTGTCCTGCCCAATGGCCTTTAACACCACCAAATACTTCCTCATCCCTGTCTACTCTGTGGTACTGGGGGCTGGCTTGCCACTGAACTGCCTGGCAATGTGGGTCCTGGTATCCCAGATAAAGAAGTCCATCGTCCTCTCTGTCTATATGTTGAACCTGGTGGTCGCTGACCTACTGCAGATCTTGATGCTACCTTTCTGGATCTACTACAGCTATTTGGATCACAACTGGGTTTTGGGGCTCAAGGCCTGCCTGGCAGTCAGCTGGGGCTTCATCACCAACTTTTATGCCAAGAATGGTTTCCTGTGCCTCATTGCTATGGAGCGCTACATAGGCCTGGTCCATCCCCTTGAGTTCCGGAGGCTAAACACAATATGTGGTGCCACCAAGGTCAGTGCCATGGCTTGGGGGCTGGTGCTCAGCGTCTGTTCCGTGGGGATTGGTCTACTGCTGAAGAATCTAGAACCAGAGCGCTGCAATGAGGGTTATCCACTGGGGAGGTCCTATGCATATTTTAAGATGGCCACCATGCCTTTGTCCTTTTTCCTACCTTGTTTCTTCATGGGCTTCTTCTACCTTCGGGTCCTGCACAAGCTCAGGCAGGTGCCATCACTGGATCAGGAGGAAAAGCAGCAAATCTACGGATTCATTTCCCTCATCATCATCTCCTTCTTCCTGCTCTGTGTGCCTTACCAGGTGACCTCCCTCTACAAATACCAGAGAGAGAGGCTTCCATACGATCAAGACAGCCAACTCTGCCTCTTTGAAACAAACCTCTTCTTTTACCATCAGGTAGCGCTGTGCCTTACCACACTTGGCAATGTCTTGGATCCTCTGCTGTACATCCTGCTCCTTAAAGATGTGCGGAAAGAAATTGGAAATCACTTGTATTGCAAGGTCTTGGATCGGGGGCAGTCACAAGTAGATTAAGGCAAGAATGGAAATATTAGGTGGACACTGGTTCAGACTGATGCATAAGATACCCAGTGAGGTGGTGGGAATCCATTTGGATGTCAAGGTCCCTGCATCGGACCAGGGATTGGCCTTGTTCTCTGCTTCCCTTTTATGAAGCAACTCTGCCCCTGTAACCACAAAGAAACATGAAGGGAAACATGATCCCTCCAGGGACTTCTATTCACTCAGAACCTCTTGGAGAAGTACCTTAGAGACAGGTTGAGTTGAGCCACAAAATAATAATAATTAGATTGGTTCATGAATACTACATATTAGGTCTTTTTGCATTTATGGTTAGAGCTCTAGTTTTTCACAGCAATCAGGGACCTATCGTGATCTTTTAAATAAACAGTAAGTCTCATGGAAACATATAATCTCAAAAGATGGGCCTTTAACATTTAATATTTTGAGGCTATTGATAATATTGGGAAAGGTAGCAACATTGGATGGGCACATGATGAATTAACACAGACCACTAGACTAGGCTCTAGGATTGGATATAGATGGATAAGAACAGGTAGTGCCAGAGTTACCCACGGGGAAGATCTTATGCACATTTTAAGACAGCCACCATGGCTTTGTCCTTCTTCCTGCATTGTTTCTTCATGGACTTTACCTCCAGGTCCCACATAAGCTGAGGCAGGTACCATCATTTTAAAAGCTGGACCTTTAGCATTTAATGTTAGCGTGGAGAAGAAATTCATCCAAACTTACAGGATATAGAGACATAGATCTTTGCTGGTGAAAAAAAGACCTACTCTCCACAAAGGGTGAAAGGTAAAGAAATCGTGCCCACAGGGGAAAAGGAGAGAGACCCAGAGCAAGCAAAAAGCTGTAATTTAACCATGATGGGACAAAGAGAAAGGTCACTCATGTCTATGCTACATTCCCACTTAGTTCTGAGCAACAGAGATATGAGGAATTGTCTACCCGTCTGGTGGGCCACATGTGGCACATCTGGGTTCTATGTGTGCAATGTGGCAGGCAGGGTCCTCTGCCCCAGGGAGGTCCTCTCGCTCCCCGTCGTCCCGACGCCCACTTGGGCATGCCCCAGTGTTCTCCCTGGCTGGGAGGACACTGATCCGTCGGCCAAATCTAATCAGGTGACAGTCTCTCACAACACTCCAATGTTGCAGGCCTGCTCGGCCCGCTGGCAGCTGGGGGAAGGTAGGGGGGCTCGGGCCCACCCCCTCACCCAGCCCTGGCCCAGGGCCCTAAGGCCCAGGATTCAATTCACTGGTCAGGTTGGTGGGGTTGAGACCCTTAATGCACCAACCCTTCCAAAGCCCTGGGCCACTTCTTCCTTCTCTCCTGCTTGCTTCCCACCGCTCCGTCTTGCCACCCCTTTCTGCAGCAGGGGCGCTTCTTTTGAACATCCGCTGACAACGTGGCCAACACTGGGAGGGCCGTGCCGCCACCCTCAGCCCCCATCTCTTCCTGGTCCACGGCGTACTGGCACTGGCAGGGGGGCGC